CTGATTCCACCTTTTGTTGAGTTCAGAAGAACACAGAAAATGCTGCAGTTACAGACGTTTTCAGCAAACAGTTTCCCACACCCTCCTTTCCAGACTTCCCCATCTCCACACCTCTCTGACCACTTTTCCAGCAGAACCACTATTTTCTAGGTCAGCAGTTCTCAACTGTGGGTGATTTTGCCCCTTAGAGACATTTGTTGATGTCTGGAGACATTTTTTTTTTTTTTGTCATCACAACTAGGTGCGTGCTATTGCCATCCAGTGGGTGAGTAGAACCCAGGAAAGCTGCTGAATACCCTGATATTTATGACAGTCCCCCACAACAAAACATTATCCAAGCTGAAATGTCAGTAGACCCAAGGTTTAGAAAACTTGCTTCAGACTAACAAGACATATCCTGATTAAGTCTACTTCACCCCAAACCATTCTATGCTTTCTGTGAATTATTTATAAACACAAAGTGGTTGAGGTGTAGGCTGTTGATGGTGATGTTTCTGCATGGCTGTTGGATATCTGAAGATGCTGAGTGAGTATTACTGTTTCAGTGTCAAATCCATTCCATTCCACTGCTATGTTGAGTTACGGTTATTTTGTCTCAAACCAAAAAAAAAAAAAAAAAAGTGTGAGCCAATGTTCTAGAATCAAACAAAAACTAAGCACTAGCTATTTAATTTGGGAGCAAATGAAGCTAAACCCAGCCAGGGCATGAGAAACACTGCACTGTCTTCCTGGTTGCTCACTTAACACTTCCTGGCATGCCCATACCAAAGGTTTCAGGCACTAAACAGTAAGTCACAGCATCTGGCCTCTGCTGGGAGAATTCCTCTTGGCTCACCTTCTCTCCTTTTGATTCTAAACTTGTTCACAAGTTGACTTCTCTTTTCCCACTTAGCCCTGCTGGAATTCATTAACCTAGTTTCAGGCTCTGTATGTTGGGACTGACGAGGCAATCTTGAAAATGGTTCCTCTGGCATCTCAGCTTCACAAATTATGCACACTCATCTGAGACACTGATTCCTGAGGCCTGCCCAGGCTCCCTAGTGCCACAGTGTGTCTTCCTGTGGAGGAAATGAGGCTGACACAACAGACAGAAGGCTCCAACACAAGAGGTAGGCTGTTACTCTGTCATTATCCACACCACCACAGGAAATTGTACCCTGAATGATCGGAGTAGAAGGCAATACAAAGCCATCTATAGTTGACTCAGAATGCATGATGATGTGATAGAATATTTTATGTTCTTAATCATGTTTAGCTGAGACTAATAATTAAATTTAATTTTCTTTCTTTGAGCAGACACTATTTGGGAAGTGAGGCCAGCCAAGCATGTATAGGCAATAGATTTGAGAGGAGAGAGAAAATATTTTAATAATCTTTACCACACAAAATCCACCAAATTGTTAATGATACTACAAAGAGTTGGCATTGCCTATAAATAAGTGCTCCAAGAATTTTTAAATCCCTGAAGCCAGAAATCCTTGAGTACATGTAGGAAGCTGAGTCATTAAAATCAAGCAGCTTTGTATAATGGTTAAGAGCTAAGTTCCAATATCAGTTCTTTCATTTACTAACTGCTTGACTGATGACAAGGTTCTTACACTTCTGAGCCACAGTTTCCTGAGATGGTATTTTATTTATTTAGTTTTTTGAGACAGGGTCTTGCTCTGTTGCCCCAGCTGGAGTGCAGTGGTGCCATCTAGGTTCACTGCAACCTCCAAAACCTAGATTCAAGCAATTCTTCTGCCTCAGCCTCCCGAGTAGCTGGGATTACAGGCATGCACTACCACGCTCAGCTAATTATTGTATTTTTAGTAGAGACTGGGTTTCACCATGTTGGCCAGGCTGGTCTCAAACTCCTGACCTCAAGTGATCCGGCCACCTCAGCCTCCCAAAGTGCTGGGATTACAGGTATGAGCAACTGCACCTGGCCCTGAGATGGTATTTTTAAAGCCATTTCACTATAATACAATGAGATTCTGGATAAATTACAAAAAAAAATTGTTTTTAGTACATTATTCTAATCTCAAGGAAGTAAGAAAAATTATCCACTGCATGTTAATAATAAAAGGGGCCACTAGCTGAAAGTGAGTGGTGAGCACTCAGCAAACAAGAAGGCGAGGACTGCAGGTGTGATGGATGCCAACACTCCAAGCCAGGAGAATGAGTGGCAATGGCCACACGAGGGTGGGAGCTGGACCTGAGACTTCTGAAGTAAGCCAAAGGGGGATACACCCTTAGCGAAAGGTTGGACTCCAAATAAAGGGTAGTAAAAGGAGTTTATCAAAAACCCAACCTGTCCCCACAAAGGTTCTGGTTGAGAAAAGAGTAATATGAAATATAATAACAATAATAATCTCCCCTGACAATTAAAAACATCCTTTCACTCAGATTTTAAACAAGGCTAAAAGCTAAATGTAGCTTAATATGTTAAAAAATAACACAACAAGATAAATCCAAAGACACAGAAGATAAATACTCTCTCACGCACACATTTTTAGTGACTGGGGACGGGGGGCAGTGAAAATCAGTCCCTCTAAAGCAAGAACAGTACAGTCCCCGAAGTCGAACCACTTGCATTCAAATTCTAGATCTGTTTGTATGACTTTAGGCAAGTTATAAAAACCTCTCTGTCCTTTAGTTTCATCACCTGTGAAGTAGAATAATGATACAACCTACCCCATAGGGTTACTGGAGGATGAAATATAGAAATTTTTCTGGAACACTTAGACTACACAGCAAATAATATACGCATTCACTATTAATGTTACCATCACTGCTTCTATTCCACATTGTACCAGGGACCTAGATAGCATATTAGGATAAGAAAAGGTGTTGTAATTCACATATGATATGGTCTTCATAGATCATTCAAATTGTATCTTGAAAAACCTTCTAGAACTACAATTTAAATTTATTTTTTATTATATAATTAATATAAATTTATTGGAATTAGTGAAGGGGTTTAGCATAGTGGCTGGATATAAGAGCAATATGCCAAAAGCAATGATAACAATGAAGAAACTCAATCCAGCAATGGATACTGAAAATATTCTCTCACAACCAAGTTCAGTCTAACTCAGTTATGTAGTTAGTTTTGCTATGAAGAATGATTTTACCTATATGAATTATAAATATTTAAGATTATAAGGTGTCAAAGTTTAGAAAACATGTCCTAGATGATTGTGGGAATTAATAAAACATGGCTAGGAGTTAGTAATGGTGCACAATTGTACTTAGTGTTGATCACCTCAAAATGAAAGTAAAAATAACTTAGTTGAGTCCTTTTTCTTTTTCTCTTTTAAATTTAAATAGCATTTTGGTCTACTTTCTTCCCCCTGAAGCTACATAGAAAGGCATAAATGACATACATGTGCTTCATATACTTTCAAAATCTAAGACTCATGTTTGCTTTTCAACATTCTTAACCACAATGTAACACTGCCTTAATAGATTAGACTGCTTAACATTTCAAGGTTCTTTCCACATCATAAATTAGCTCATTCACATAACTATGAGATCACTAATGTATTTCCAGAATCATATCCCAAGAAATATTAAAGGTCACATTATTTAGAATTTAAAAATGAAATAAGACAGAACCATTCACAAACAATGGCAGTGTATCATAAACTCACTAAACTCATTAGTCTTTGACTAATCCACTTTTGAACTATAAAAAATATACATTTTAATGAGGCCATAAAATAAGACAACAGAAATAATTAATTACAAGCAAGTATTTTAAAATAGCTTATTTTAATCAAATTTGATGAAGTATATCTAACAAAGTTCTAGGTCAACACATTCCCTGTACATTGCAGCTTCATGTTTGACATCACTGATGTTGATTACATGGCTTACATTATTGGCAAAGGACTTCTGATATTTTCAGCCTTAATTATAACCTTCATTTTAAAACTATTAGCCTTTATTACCCACATATGCCCCACCAAGTTCTGGTATTAATGGATAATTTTTCTACTTAGAATATCATTTCAAGCCTTATTACTTGATGGTTTATTGTAAGACACAGACCTCTTGAGGTCCTTTAAAATTATTAAGAAATTCTGGAACATTAGTAAAATTATGACCATACTAAGAATCTGACACATGAACAGACTTTTCCTTACAAAATAAATAACAAAAACTAAGCTGAAACACAGTTCCTAATATAAATAGTTAAGAATGCTAGTTTAAGCTTGAACTGTTTATGTCTCAGCAGCCATCTTCATCATTATAGGACTTCATGAATAAAATAATGTTAGCACTAATCTTTGCCTAGTTTCACACCACTGTAGAAAGTATATCCATTTTTGAAAACATAGAGATATGGTAACCTGGTATGCATATTAGTAAACAGTATTTATCAATTTCATTCAGATCAACTTTAAAAATGTAACATATTAATACTATAATTGCAGATTGATTTGAAGAGGATCTAATAGAAAAAGATAATTACAAAAACTTTAAAAGAAAACTAAGAAACCAATATGCAAATAAGTTTTTTAAAAAGTACAATTAAAAGAGGTTAATATAATTTAACCATTCAGAAAATAATTATTTTCCCCATATATTTAAATTATTGAAGAGAAGCATTAAGGAAAAAAGCATTTGGGCCTAAAGTTGCTGTCAGTTTCTTTATAAATCAACTATACTTTAATGCTTATTCCTGTATTCATTTTAAGTATTTTTCAATCAACAGTTAAACTCAATAAGAATGTACTATAAAAAATGTGTAAGGCTGGTAATCTTGAAACAGAAATGGATTATTTCAGATGATTAAAAGATGAAAAGTGGCAACAACATTTACCATTTGCTTCCTCTTGTATTTTAGGTTGATGATTTATTTGCATTTCTGCAAAAATAAAAGTGAAGTGCAGTTAATAATAGATCTGTCTGATGACATCGTAAGTGGGAAAAGAAGAAACATGAGTTTAACTCTTTAACAGTGGCAAATCCTTACGTTGATTTTTAACTTCAAGTAGGGCATATAACATTTCTAAGACACAGATTTACATATGTTTTTATTTCACTGTGAGGAATACTATAAATCCAACAATAAAAGATAAATGATCAAAGGGGCTGTTCTGAGGAAAACTGGGGAATAGTGTTCCATGATGTCCAGATGTAACAAAATCATCTTGTACTTTCTTCTACCGATGGTTTCAGTAATCCTCACCTTGAAGATAAAGTTCAATTTCTGAATGAATTATGCCCTGAAACATAAAAGGAAGCCATCTGAGGAAAAAGAGAGAGAGACAGAAAGAGAGAGGAGAAAATAGAGAGAAAATTAATTTCTGATTTTCTCAATTTTAAAATGAGGTTGATTCTGCATTAATTTTGCACACTAAATGTTAACTATAAAATTGCTTTTTATATAGTCAAACACAACCCATCCTATTACATACTCATCATAGCACTAAGAATGGTATCATACCTGTGGCTTGAAGAACGAAATATATACGTTGCTAACCCTGCTAACCACCCACCTCTCCAGGTTTGTCAGTCGTCTATCACTATCACCTGTAAAAGCAAATGGGGCTCCAGCAGAGCACTCCCAGTACCAAGCCGGAGCAAAGGGCAAGGGCGGGTTTCAGATTTTGAGCATGGTACCTGGGCCAGCCTAGAAAACATGGCCTGCACATTGGTTGCAGGGAAACTTGGCACAGAAAAATAGACTCCCTATTTTAATATTTCCTCTATGAGAGTTTCTGTCTTGCTTTCACCTGACTTCCTCTAAAATCTCTTCCTCAGTGTTTGCGAAAAGAATATTACCATTGGCCAAGCGTGGTGGCTTACACCTGTAATCCCAGCACTTTGAGAGGCCAAGGCGGGCGGATCACAAGGTCAGGAAATTGAGACCATCGTGGCTAACATGGTGAAACCCCGTCTACTAAAAATACAAAAAATTAGCCGGGTGTGGTGGTGGGCGCCTATAGTCCCAGCTACT